AAGACCCTGGAAGTTAACCTCCTCTGTGCAAATAAAACCACACTGCCCCCGTTTATTTTACACTGTTGTGCCTCTGAAAATGATTTTAGACTCGCTGCTTGGAATTATTAAAAGTTGTGTCAACTTCCGGCTGTACTTCCCGCTACTTCCAACTAATTGCAGGTTGCGACTACACAGTATCTGATACAAGATAGTAGCCCTGTCAGATTACGCGTTCATAGTCAAATCTTTGCCGTTGCTTCCCCGTCTTTTACGGCCTAATTGATGTCAGTGGGAAGGCGAACGGGGTAGATTTCTGCACACGAGATTGTAAATGAACAATGGCGCATGTGTGATGTTGGCTGTCATGTGCTTTGAAAGGCCTACGAATAGGAAGAGGAAAGCAACTCTGGGACTATATTAGGACTGCACAACGCAGACGCTATGAATTTTAAATACTTTAGCCTAATTTGAGTTGGGCTATCATGCATACTATAATCTGAAACTGGCATTATTCATCTGCATGACTGGCATCTTATTCACATAACCCTCGCAGTCCAATATTAGCAAATCCCTTTTACGGAACCTTTTAGCTCCTTTACTCCCATTTCCTGGAAGCAACAATGTACTAAACACTGAGGTTTTTCAGGTTAAAATGCCACAGCTAGCAGACGGTTATATCTGCTGTGATGAATGTTTTAAGTGGTAAAAGGAAACTTGGGTGTTGTGTGGTAAATGTGTTGACTTTGAGCTCACTTTCAGCTGCGTTCCTACAAAGATCATATATAAGGAAAAGGCTGCATCACCATGTAACGCCACCGTGCACGTCACAGCTAACTGTGCACGTGGCACCAACAATTAGTTTATCAACTTAATAGTGCTTAACGGAGAAATCAGGGTGTGTGGATCAAGTGGCTCATAAAAAAATATGAGCCACTAATATGAGCAGATCGACAAAACGAATGACTTTCAGAGTGTTGGTCAGCATCTGGAAGAGAGAGCACATCTTTGGTTTTTTAATCCTGCCCAGACCCAAGTGGCGATGTTTTTCAGAGACTGCGTGTCTGGATGGGTTCCAAAAGGTGGAAATCTGTCCTGGAAGAGGCATGTTTATAGCCGCAGGTGTCAAGGCACATCATCAATTCAACGTTCTCTTTGGAGTGCATGTGAGCCACCTCTCCAGGACAGGAATGGCGCGGGAATGAGGTGGAACAAAAGCTGGCAGGAACTAAAACTGTCAAACATGACATGTTTGAACAATAGAATATGTCTATATGTGGAGAGCAAACCATTACAAGACTACTTGTGTAGGTAGAGTAGTGTGGAAATCTCTCGAGCTAAAAGCCTGGAGAGCTATTTAAAACTTCTGTTCGAGTTTTGTGAACCTGCTCTGCCATCATTAGTTGACCAAAATGTAGGTTTCGGTCAATAAAAAGCGAGAGTATATAAACATGCTCTCTGGGTTTCAAACAGCATACCGCAAACACAGGCTTAAGAATCAGTGAATTTGATGTTTTTCAGATTTTTTTCTCCCCTTCTCACTACTACTAAGATTTTTAAGCCACTACTGTTAATGATTCACACATATAAAAACAACCTGAAAGAGACCTTTGCTTTTTAGCTTTAAAAGAATATAAAATAAGAACAAGAAAGTACATAAACTTTATGGCTTTGCCGATTTTACCTTCCAGCTGTGTATTCAGCGCAGCTAGCACACAGCCACTACTACTATTGGTGCTAGTAGTCCCCTCCACCACCACTGAATATCAAAAGCTCTATTTTTCTGTATTTGTAATCAGATTTATTCATGGACAGCACTGAACAGACACAGCACCCCTAATCAGCCCACGCAGCCTTTCCACTGTGGTGTAGAATCCACCAGGCTCACAAAGTTACATAATAACTGAGTGTCTTCAACCACAACTTAACATCAAGTCAGATGATTGCCGAGTTTCTGTTTGTTGTGAATGTTATGCTGTTTGTGATGCTTGTGAGAGCAGTGGTCTCCTGTTTTTCCCAGAGCGGGCTCTGTGTCTGCTCCAGGCTGTTAACATGGACACGGCAACGAGGTGGCATCAAGTGCAAGTGAGGTAAACAGAGTGGCCCTGGTCGAAATCTGTAGACAGCTGCAGGTAAATGTTAATATCATATACACATCAAAGACAACCTGAAGGGTAATCAGGATTCAGGATGCCACCCCAAAACTGCAGCGCATCTAACATCGTCCAAAAAACAATGACCTCAAGATGAGATCTCAACCGAGCCCGGGCTTTTAATATATTAGGATACAATGTGTACACTGGACGCTTAACCTGCTTAAATTAAAAAGTGTAGTTGGACTTGCACTCAAGGAAGGAGATGACTGAAACCTACAATCCTACAATAACTGCCTTTTTTCCCCTTTCCTTCTTTTTTTCTTTTTCTTAAAACACAGCACTTGCTGTGCTCTGAAACCAACAAACTTGTTAGATTATTTATACAGCAGTCGAGGCGCAACATTATTATCTGTCTCTCGGTCCGCTAAGTTAATATAAGACCAATTTTCATGCCCTTTTAGCTCTGGTATGTACCAACACCTCAGGGAAATATCTGGCTCTTTAGCTGCTTGCAGAGTGTCCGTCAGCTCGATCCTTGCTCAGTCTCTTTAGCGCTGAGCAGGTATTCTACAGTTGGTTTTTGGGGGGGTTGAACAGCTGCATAACAAGAGTGACTTTAAAAGGATTTAAAGAATGCAAAGCAGAAAAACACTGAATTGAAAACTGAACACAGCACCATAAAGCTGATGGGAGCTGTGGCTTTCTGTGACAATTCTCCCCAAGTTCATTACCGCAAACACACTGTACCCTTCCTCTGTTCCTCCCCTTTTCCCTTCCCCCACTTCTCCCCTAAAATGAGGACTGTCAACGGGGCCATATATCTGACACAGTCTACTGTGGACACACACATACACGCACATGCGGCCTGCGATCGAGTGTTCAGTAATGGGGCAGTGGGAATGAGGGGAATGGGGAGATGGAGACGGCTGGGTGCTGCTGGGCCTATCAGTCGGGTTATATAAGACTGTAATGAGGACTTTCCTTTGCCATAAATCTATAACCTCACTGAAGATAAAATACAGTAAACACCAGCACTTAGAGCATCACCGCATCTCTGCACAGGACCGAACGAGAACAGCTGCAGGATTTTATGTCTTGCGCACTAACAAGATGTCTCCGTTTCAGTGCTCGTGGGAGTCCGATTGTTTATTGACTGATTAGTCTTGATTAAGATGTTAATGAACTGCTTAATAAATTAAATCAGAAAATTAGGGGGAAGGGGGGCTCCAGGTGGTGTCTTGAAATCGCATTTTAGCCCAACCAACTGTTGAACAGTGGAGTCCAAACAAATGAGAAAGATGCAGAAAGTTCACGTTTAAGGAGCTGACACAAGATTTATGTTGGATCGTTCTGACAATCACACCCAGAGGCTGCTCCACACAACGCCATACTCGCCATAATGGGGACAGTATTTATGAGTGCTGCGATGTCATTTGAAACACTTTTGTTTTTTCCCCTCTCCTATGCTGCTCATTTCTGAAGATCTAAAGGCCGAGCTCGCGTCAGTCCAACTACATCACCTTCACTTCCACCAGTGGAAACTCACACCGTGTCATGTCTCAGTAAGAGACACTCCTGCAGTGCTCCTTTAAATGGACAGATTTATGTGGCACATTCAGCAGCGCAGGACTTCACGCCACTGAGCTTGGTCCCCCCCCCAGCACATCACGCTCCATCTGACACGCCGACAATGTGGGGGAAAAAAACACACACACACACAGAGACAGAGACAGAGAGAGAGAGAGAACTTCCAATTTTGCTGCTTCACCTGAGCCAAATGACCCTCCACCACCACCACCACTCTCAATCTTACCTCCACTTCTCATTTCTCACACACACCATGCATTCTCACCCATCCTCCCCCCTCTTCTTCCACGCTCACCGCGCAAACACCCGGCCGAGGTACTGGCACTCTTTGGCTGAGAGCCTCTCAAAGAATGTGCGGCGGTACAAGCCTGAAGGAATACACATCATCAGCGCCCTCAACACGCGGCCTCATAAAGGCTCGCGGGCTGACACAAGTGATGGATCACACTTAGCAGGAGAAATGAAAAAAAGAAAAGAAAACACTCTGTGGTCCTCGGTGAACATGCAAAATTGAAATGATGTGCTTTCTGTCTTTAGGAAATTGGGGGAAACTGTTTAGAACGGGCAAAGGTCAGAGATCAGGGATCCACACCTGTGTGGCCACAGTAGAGTACAGTATTTGTACAATATTACAACAGTACAACTTGCTGTCGATTGCCAGTCTGCAGATATGATGTTAAACTTTACGCAGCACAAAACAAAAACACGCAGAGGGCATAAAGCTAAAAACAGAAAAGGCCGCATGCATTTCATGATTTAATCAGAGAGTCTGCAGACGACAGACTGCATTTTGCAGCGTCTCCTCCTGCTGAAAAACACCCCACTTTGCATCCTTCTGGCTGCTTTCCCACGAGCTCACCTGTTACACGAGTCTGACTGCACACAAGTCAAATTCAGGCACACCGTTTCACTTATAGCAGCAGCCAAATGATGCACTTCCAGCTACAGTGAGGTGAGACCCATGGGAAACGCAAGTCACACAGCAAAAAGAGGAACTTCGAAGTGACTCTGCCCGTGGATCCCCCCAATCAGAATCTGACATCATGTTGGAAAAAACATGCAGGAAAGATAAGTAAGCTACATACAATGATAAGTTTACCATGAGCTAGTCGGATACACTCGGAAAGTTCCCTGTAAAGTTTATATCTGATCAGGAGGTGATGTGGTCAAAGTCATGACCTGAGACCGCGATCACACTCGCGGGTGTCAGAACTAAGCAGTGAAATGAAGGTTAAAAGGCTTAAAGCAGGAGTCCGTGCGAGCGTGCGTAAAATGTTGGGGGGTGAGAGAAAAAGAGCTCCACCCTGTTATTTCTCCACCGTAAACTGACATGTATACCTGGTTGGTGGTGTCAGGCGGCAGGTTCTTAATGAGGATTTTCCTCCTGTTGCTCAGCTCCTTGCGAGTTTTGGCCAGCCTCCTCTCGATTTCCTCGGGCTCCAGGTCCGGCAGGTCACGGAGGCTAATCCCGGAGTCCGGGGGTTGCGCTGCCGTCGCCTCCTCGTCCTCGTGCTGCCGGCTCTCGGGGCTGTCCATCTCCGGGGAAAGTGCGCTATCCCGGGCTAGAGAAGAGTGAACGCTCGGCGGCTGGATGGATGAGGCTGCCGCCATCTTGGGAAAAGTGTGAGGAAAGCGAGAGAGAGAAAGAGAGAGAGAGCAGGTGGGAGGTGTGTGTGTGTGTGTGTGTGTCGGTGGAAGAGAGGAAGATTAAAAAAGAGAGAGAGAGAGAGAAGGAAAAGGACCGACAGCCAACAACACACAACAATGCTGCCAAATTGCTCTGAACTATTTCTTTTAAATCTTCGCTTCTGTATTTGGCGTCAGTTTGTATTCTCCTGTTTCTACTCTGACCGATGATGAGCCGTGATAAAGAGCGACAACACAGCAGAGCTACAAGGTTTAGATTAACGTTACATTAAACATAGCATTTGTTTAAAACGGGGCGTTTAAGAGTCGCTGTCATCTGATGAATGAAACTTGTATATGGGCACTTTGACGCACACATGGTTCCCAGCGTGTCGGGCTGCACTCCGGACTCCTGGCGACCCCAACTGTCTGTTAACTGCATAGGAGCCAATCATCATTGGTCAGTGCGGATTAGTGCGCTTTTGAATTGGCTTGCCAATGTCGTGTCGTGTGGCACCAACCTGATCCTCCAAACTGCATATGTTTCCGGATTTTTAGGAGGGAACTAAATTATTATTATTATTATTATTATCGATCACATATCGAACCTGCAGAACGCTCTGTCGTCTTCACCCTGCACCAAAGTGCTGTATGTGCGCACATTTCTTATTTCGGTGCGGCGGCCCAATTACAGCATTTCTTCTTTTGGTGAAGAAGAGAATTGGAGAAGATCCGCCAGAGCTTTCCTGTTCCCCATGTGCATAATGTTACCATGAATGGCTGTGTGCCTTCCCTACTTTCTACCCAATTGATCCAGTGAATGCCAGCCCAGCCTGCGCGCCTGCCTGCCCACCGTGGGTGGAAAGCTGCTCCTGGCAAACACAAGGGGAGCAGAGCTCCCTGCCGAGTCCTCACAATGCCCGTGTAGCTTCCGCAGGCAGAATGAGTCGCTGAAAGACACACACTGTATGCTCACACTCATAAATATGCACTTACATTCACGTAGGCACACAAACATGTCAACAAGCGCACAATCAACCCACTTAGAAAATGTTTAGAGCGCGCTTATTGCCGGGGCCCTCTGAAAGAGAGACGGAGAAATCAACCTCCGTGTTCTCTCTCTCTCGCCATCTGTGTGGAGCGTTTCTTGGCAGATCGAAGTCCAGACGATCACAGTTGTCGGTGGGTGAAAATGATCTCGCATTGCCAAGTGGCTGAAGCAGTGTAACCGGAAGGCAGCGAGTGTATGCAGGCTGTTTGTTGCTTAAATGCTTCAATCAGGCGTGAGCGCAGTCCACTCCAGAGTGGAAAGGCCAAACCAAAAAGAAGGGCAATTTGTGTAACTGCAAATAGAAGCAGTTTATAAGTCTGCATGCACTTCATGCATCAGCTCAACATTACTGCTGGGAGCTAAGAATCCAAGGCGCAAAGTCACACTGTGTCCTCCTGACAAATGCTCCTGAAGATGCAACCTGCTATGTATCAATGACGGAGTAGTTCACACACCAGACTGCCAGACTGTACTAAATATCTTAAAGGAATGCATGACAGTTATATCCTTTATTTAGCAGATACGAGGCTAAAGAGATCACCTTTTTTAATAGAGACATAGCCAAGAGAGTGGCCCCAGACTACTGATCGTTTTAAATTCAGTTGTTAGTTCCATTCCTCATTGGACACTTATCATCTTAACATCGGATATCAGATACTTCAGCTCAAGTAGGCCTGCTACACAAGCTCAGTATCTAGCTATTTTATACCATCTCTGTGGTCTCTCATGACGTTACAGGTGCCCTTAACCCAAGTCACAAACTTATCATCATCATGCAGGAAATCAAGCTGAAGCAAATGCCCCTGAGAAGTCGTCCTACATGTAAACTGTGTTTTGATCCAACTGCAGCTCATACAATAGTCGGTACTGGCTGACAGATTGGGGGACATGAATCATTGAGCAGTAGTTCTGTGAAAAGACAGCAAGGACTCGCCTGTCACTTGCACAGGCTGATTTTAGAGACGCATGAATCACTCCACTAAGTGCTAAACAACGTTTTCCATGAGAGAACAATTAATTTGTTCTCTCTGTCCCCCTGGTGCATACACACACACGTGCCAGCACCATCGTTTTACACTTAGAGACACACACCGACACACTTAGACATTAACTTGTGTCGGCCTGTAACCTCCTCGCATGGTTACACAAACTCTGTAGCTATCTTTCAAAGCGTTTTACCTAGTCCCATAATAATAATGCGCTCTGCTACACAAACCAAGGGGGGAAAAGAGATGTTGGTTGCTCTACCATCTTAAAAAAAATATAATAATAAAACACAAGAGCCCTGCTGGTGCTTCAGTGTGTCAGCCAGTGATTCACAGCCCCTTTTGGAGTGGGTGGCAGCAGAGAGGAGAAGGAGTGCGCAGGAAAACGTTTGCTGCTGCTCGCTGGGACTGAGAGTGTGAGGGCGTGGGTGGGTTGAGTGGCTGAACAGGCAAAGCAGGCACCTGGGACGAGCTCAGTAGGCGTGAGGATGGATGGGAGGCAATGAGAGGGATTGATGAGGAGGAGGAGGAGGTATCAGGAGAGTGAGGGGTTAACCCCAAATGCTGAAGAGTGCAATGTGATTATGGATATGTCATCCTGTGCTCCTGTCAGTAATGCATGAGCTGATGCAAACAGCTGGCGTAACGCTCTCGTGAAGGATCAGGGATACAGTGTGGTGGCGTGGCTGCTTCCTCTGATGGCATAGGAGAGATTTAGGGACATGTGACCTACTAAAAACAGCTGACCTGAACACATGGAGGACAATATGCACAAGAGCTCCCTGCCCAATTCTTGTCCTAATTACAGTCATAAGCGTACCTCTTCATCATTACATGGGGAGAGTTGCTTTTATGTGGCAAGCAAGTGACTGAGTAATGAGAAAGTCTCATTTTGTTAGCATTTAAGTGCCCCTTGCTTTCTAACCAAGCATAAATGTGCATCTTTATCCCTCCAAAAGCTCCATTTAGATGCGATTTTACAAGCTTGCCTTAAAAGTTGTACCTTTGAGCGGGAGACTGTCATTAAATCCTTAAGATTTTAGTGCAGTGTTTATTTGTGTGTTTAAAAAAAATCCATATGCTGAAGGGACTCCAAAGCGTTTTCATTTGCTTGCTCGCACGACTTGAGATGATCACACAGCAGAGATGTTTTCTTGGGGAAACTGGGACTCTGCACTGCACAAAAATATGCTGCAAGTGCATGTCTGCTGTACTAGTTGGCAGAGCGGAGACTGACTGAAATGACCCGAGGGTGCTTGGACACGAGCTCGGTGCTCTAATTCAGAGAGTTTCCCTGGCAGGGAGCAGCAGACAGCTCAGGAGAAAGCGGCACAGCAGAGGAGATACGGTGACAGTGGAAAAGAGATAAAGACAGCCCCATGTAGGAGTGGTGTGAATGAATGCAGACAAACTGATTAGGTTTATGGGACATGGAGACAGGCAGGCAGACTAGAAATGAGGAGGAAGTGCCCACCTTCTTCAGCTCTCAGCACTGCTGAACTACATCCCTGCTTCCCCAGTGTGCACATCTCCATTTCCACCTCAAGGTTAAACAGCATACCTTGCTGTACTCTGTAGCCTTCTCTTAAAATAGACAAAACTACACTACCATTAGATGTATCTGGATTTATGCACTGATTGCTCTTGAAACAGGCAAAGTAAATCTGACTGGACTAACAACACAGCATTGTACCGTTCATGTTTTTTTTTAATGTTTTCAGACAGTCCAGACATGAAAAAGTAAGTGAATTCACTTCATTCAGTTTTATTTATATAGCACCAAATCATAACAACGGTCAACTCAAGGAGGTTTATTATGTAGGCTAAAGATGTCTCAATATTAGAGGAAAAAACACAACAATCAGGTGACCCCCGATCAGTAAGCACTTGGCAACAGTAGGAAGGAAAAACCCCATTTTAACAGGAAGAAACCTGTGGCAGAACCAGGCTCAGGGAGGGGCGGCCATCTTTCACCATCAGCTGGGGGTGAGGGGAAGGAGACAGAACAAAAGACACACTGTGGAAGTGAGTGGAAGTTTTAAATTAATAAATATTAATTAAATGCAATAGTGTTGTATAAAAAAAAGAAGTGAGTGAAAGAAATGTTTAGTGGATCGTCAATCTTTCAACCATTCTGATGTTGACTGACTTTGGTCTTCTGTATCAGTGTCTTGTATTTATCACCCACCCTTCCTAAGCTTCATGTCGTGGACTACAGCTTTGGTATTCGTCTACAAAAAATCTTGATTAAATTCGGAATTCTTTGTTCCCTCAATGACCGGAAAGCTTTTAGGTCTTGATGTAGAAATGCAGCTCCAAACCATGATGCTCCCTCCACCATGCTTCACAGTTGGGATTAGGATTTGGTATTAATGCGGGCAGCCCTTATCGCCCTCATTTTCCTTTAAAGTGAGAAATTTCAATTTTGTCCCCACGTATAAACAGGTGTTTATTAAGCAATATTTTAGCTAGTTATTTTGCACGGCTTTTGCTGTTACTCCAGTGTTCTCTTATGTGCACGTTGTGCTCTCGGTGTAATATTTGCAGGATTTTCTCCGTAGTGAGAACAGAAAAAGTCCAGAATTTTCTCAATTTGTAGATATGTTGTTGGGATTAAGGCATGTTTCATACAATATTTTTTTTTCATGAACAGCAGACTTTGTCAGAAATCAGTTTGTGTTCTTTTATTAATAGACAATCAAGAAAGCATTAACAGAGGTCTACAACTTCAAGGTCTCATTAGTTTACCCACAATGTGTTTGTCTAGGATTATTCTTTATTAATTTGCTGACTTTAACCAAAAGTATTTACTAGTGAAAGGAGCATACACACATAATTCCAGTTACATCTACTTACAGTTACCCAATAATGCAGAGCAAATTTATTAAGAGTGCATATTTTATATTTTAATGTAAAACAAAATCAGTGGTAAACAATGGTGGGTAAAG